GGTACACGTCAGCTTTTAGATGTCCCCCATTACTGATGGAAATCTCACAGTCTAAGAAGGCTAACCTGCCACTTTTCATATCCTCCCTGGGGAATTTGATGTGTCGTGTCTATTATGACAACAGCCGTTATCAGCTTTCTTATGTTGCTTTTTCTGTTTCAGACACTCTTTGTGCTCATAGGGTGCCTTTCATGCATCACATGACTCTTCTTCAACACAAACTAATCCCTATGAGGGCAATCTACACCAGAGACTTTGATCAAATGGAGATAAAAATGTACACTACAGGCCCCAATTTCTTCCAGGTATTTATTACAATTTAACTTGTTTAAGTCCGGTGAATAGCTTGAAATGGTACAAAGGGAAGTGGTGAACTGCCAGAGGTTAAAAAAAAAGGTAACGTTTAAAGTGAAAAATTCTGTACATGTCCAAACTATACAAAAGCCCTTTTACAGGGAACACAAAATGGGTTAACAATTTAAAGCCGTTCACCAGCAATGGTTGATCGAGCCTTGAAAGCTGGCGCTAGTAATTCCTACAGGTGTTCCAACTTTTCTGGATTACTTACAACCCCCTCTTGTCTGCACATAAGCAGTGTTGGAACAGACTGTGGTACCATACCCTTGTGAGCATCAGGTGAACAGTATTGTATTGCAGGAAAGAAGCAAGTAACAATGGAAGAGAGACACGCCATCATAACACTTAAAAATGTAGGTCTTTCCTAAAGAGAAACTGCCAAATTCAAGGTGTCAGTACAATTTCCTTCACCATCAAAGGCACTCAGAAACTGGTCCAAACTCTGACAGGAAGCCACAACTGATAATACAAAGCCACAACTGAATCAGAGGACACGTTTCTGAGAGTTAACAGCTTACGTGATAGGTGGCTCATAGGGCAACACTTTCAAGCACAGTTTATAGTGGTCATAGTAAACAAGTCTCAGTTTCAACTGTGAAGAGAAGACTTTAATATGCAGGTTTGACAGAACAAGTGTGATGGTTTGGGTTGTTTTGCTGG